AACACAGAAAAAAAAGGCCCTTCAGCCCATTGAGTCTGTGCCAGTCAATAACAATCACCTGACCATTCTAACCCAATTTTCCAGCACTTTGGCCCATGGCCTATATGCCCTGGCATCACAAGTGTGCATCTACTAAATGCTTCAATGTGATGAGGGTTTCTGCCTCTCCCACCCTTACAGGTAGTGAGTTCCAGATTCCCACCGGCCTCTGGTGAGAAAATGTTTCCTCACATCCCTTCTGAACCTCCTGCCCCTTCCTGTTCATCTTTGCCCCTAGTCATTGATCCCTCCACCAAGGGGAAATGTTTCATCCTATCTACACCATCTATGTCCCTCATAATGTTGTACACTACAATTATGTTCTCTGTCAACCTCCTCTCCTCTAAGGAAAACAACTCCAGTCTGTCCAATCTTTCTTCATAATTGAATCTCTCCATCCCAGACAACCTCCTGGTAAATCTCCTCTGCACCCTCTCCAGTGTTATCACATCCCTCCTGTAATGTGGATTCTAGAACTGCATACAATAATTGTGACGATATAGCTTTAAGAGGTGTATTTTGTCTTTTTTTAATGAAGAATAGTTGGGATGGAGGTATCATGTGGTCTGCTCAAAGTCAAAAAAGTAAACAGCTTGTGAGGCCTTGGGTTTTTGGAACAGTAGAAGCAGCCTGAATGTGTGGGGTGAAGTTACTATAGAATTGGGACTTTTAATTTTAGCTTTCAGCAGTTGATAGGGTATTGAAGCTGGATGTGGATGCTCTCATTCATCTCTCTGTAAAATCTGGGGTTCTCCTCCTGCTACTAGAATTGCATGTGACATTATCTGTTTTACTGAATTTGCCTTTGCCAAGGGTGTGTTTATGGAATGTTACTATGTTGGCACAGTTGCTGTTTAGTAGTTAAATAATTTATCATGATGTTAAGTTTTCAAATAGTGTTAAGTCATTCCCATTGTTTCTTTTATTGTATTTTAACTATGGTGTATGAATAAAGTGTGTTTTGCTTCAAATCTGATGGTTTGGCCAATCGAATTGCATCTGGAACACAATGCCTGGCACTTGTCTTTAAAATAAGAAAATGTTGGGATCTAGGCTATCTCCTTGTCATGCTTTTGAGGGGGTTTGGTCTGATCCATAACATAATCTAACTGTGGCCTAAATAACATTTTATACAGTTCCAGCGTAACCATCCTGTTCCTAACATCTGTGCCTCAGTTAACGAAGGCAAGTATTTGATGTAAAAATAGAAATTGCTGGAAAAACTCAGCAGGTCTGGCAATATCTGTGGAGAGAAATCAGAGTTAACATTTTAGGTCAAGTGACCCTTCCTCAGAACCGTTGTATTCGATATGCCTTCTTAACCAATTTAGCCACCAATCATGATACCTTAAGGGACTGGTGTACATGCACACGAAGGGGCCTCTGATCCTCAATGTTTCTCAGGGTACTCCCGTTCACCATGGATTCCCTTGCTTCAATTGTCCTGCCCAAGTGCATCACCTCACATTTATCCGGATTGAATTTCATGTGCCGCTAACCAGCCCATCTCCTATAGTCTAAGGCTATCCGCCTCACTATTTATCATCCTATCAACTTTTGTATCATCTGCAAACTTACTGATCAACCCTCCTATATTCAAGTCTAAATCATTTACGTAAAACAGAAACAGCACTGACCCCCGTTGGACCCCATTTGGCACAACTCTTCCAGTTGGAAAAACCCCCCTCAACCATTACTCTCTGCCTCCTACCACACAGCAAACTGTGGATCCAATTTGCCAAACTTTCTTGGATTGCACGGCTGTTATCATTGCTCTCAGTCTCCCATGTTGGACCTTATCAAAAGTCTTGCTGAGGTCCAAGTAAATAATGTCAAAAACATTATCCTTACCTACAGACCTAGTCACCTCATTGAAAAATTCAATCAAGTTGGTGGTGGGCAAGAATGAGTGGAAGATTCCACTCCAAGATTCAAATACTGTGCCATCTCAAAGGCTAATACAAAAAAAAACCTCAGTGGTGACATATTGGCAAGGGTAGGAGACTAACTGGACAACAGGAAACAGAGTGGTAATTTTCTGACAAAATTCAATGAGCGGTGTGTCAAAGAGATAAGTGCAGTGATTGCACATTTTTACAACTTATATGAATGGGTTGGTTGAAGGGATTGAAGGTATGTATGGTTGCAAATTTGTTGATGACAGAAAGCGTGGTAGGAAGTTAAGTTGTGAAGAGAACATATGGAGGTTACAAAGAGATATAGGTAGGTTAAGTGAGTGGGCAAAACTCTGGTAAATGGAGTACAATGTAGGAAAATGTGAAATTGTACATTTTAGCAGGAAGAATGAAAAAGCACATTAACCAAATGGTGAGAGACTGCAGGGCTCTGAGATGCAGAGGGATCTGCGTGTCCTGTGTCCTGATCTATGAATTGCAAAAGTTTAGTATGCAGGTACAGCACATCTTTAGGAAGGCAAATAGAATGTTATGGTTTATTGCAAGGGGAATTAAATACAAAAAGAATAAGGTTAACCATCAGTTCTACAGGGTATTAATGAGACCATGTCAGAAGTACTGTACACAGTATTGGTGTCCTTATTGAATAAAAGATATAAATGTTTTGGAAGCAGGTAAAGAAGATTTACTAGACTCATACCTGGAAAAGGCTGAGGGGTGTCATCTTATGAAGCAAAGGCTTATATTTGCTGGAGCTTAGAGTCGGAGGCAACTTGATTGAAGAATAGATGATCCTGAGGGTCTTGACATGGTGGATGTGGAAAGAATGTTTCCTGTTATGTGACAGTCTAGAACTGGGTGTCATTGTTTAATTTAAGACAGAGCTGAGAAAAAATTGTTTCTCACGGAGATTCATAAGTCTTTTGGAATGCTGTCCCTCAAGAATAGTGATTTTTTTTTTAATAGAAACCCTACAGTGTGGAAGCAGGCCATTCAGCCCAACAAGTCCACACCAAACCTCCAAAGAACATCCCAACCAAACCCACCCCAACCTTGTAACCTTGCATTTCCCATGGCTAACCCACCTATCCTACATATCCCTAGACACTACAGGCAATTTTCCCATGGCCAATCCACCTAACCTGCACATCTTTAGAATGTGGGAGGACGCATACATGGGAAGAATGTGCAAATTCCACACAGACAGTCACCCAAGGCTGGAATTGAACCCAGGTTGCTGGTGCTGTGAGGCAGCAGTGCTAACCACTGTGCCACCATGCCACGAAGTTGGAGGTAGATAGATTTTTGATGAACAAGGGGTGAAATGTTGTCAGAGATAGACAGAAAATTGGAATAACGTGTATATATGGCCATCATCAGTACAAATGAATAAGACTAAAATTCTTCTGAATGCATACAATGTCAAAAGGAAAAAGAATCTCCTTTCCAAAATGTTGATTATATAAACTCTATTGTATGTTGGTGTAGGTTGTGAAGCCAAGTAATCTCTTAGTATTATTAGTATCCAGATTCATGTGAGAAAAACATTACTTAATCCCATTCCAATACTTTTCCCTGTTCTCAAATTCAAGCTTCAAGTAGTTGGCTTTATTGGTAACACATCCAAATGGTCATTATTCATGTCTAAGCATTGGCAAAGCAGGAAAGGGAAGGATATGTCTGTGTCCAGCTTAATGCTTTCAACAAGAGGTACTGGACAGTGTTCAGGAGTGGAAAACCCCTTGAGTATTTTTCCCTTTCTCTGGCTGTTGTTTTCAACTATGACAACTCTCTCTCAAACTTAACAACATAGGAACAGTAACAGTTTATTTAGCCCCTTGAGTCAGTCCTACCATTCAGTGAGATGAGGGCTAATCTCTTAGCTAAATTTATTTACCAACTTTTACCCTGTATTCCTTGATAAATATGGTGAGCAAAAATCTAGAAATCTCAGCCTTAAAAGTTACAATCGATCATGTGTCAATTTGTGTTTGCAGAAAAGAGTTTTAAACTTTGACCACTTTCAGCGTTTACAAATATAACCTAAATTCACTCTTAAGAAGTCTGGCCCTAACTTTTAGAGTCTGTCCCCTTGTCCTGGACTCCACCTTTTAATCACTCTTAAATCTTCGAAATACAACCTTTGTGTGTAGAAAGATCCTTTGCAATTTAATCATTGCAGTCTAAATATTATTCTGGTAAATTTACACTGCACTCTCCCTCCAAAGAATAGATCTTTCCTGAGGTGTGGTACTTAGAACTGGTCATAGTTACTTCAGTGTGATCTAACCAGGTCTTTGTACAGTTGAAACAGAGCTGAATTCCAGAGATGAGGTGAGATCTACTCTTGACCTTATGGCAGTGTGTGACTGACTGTGGTGTCATGGAGCCTGAGAAAAACTGGAGTCAATGGGAATCAGACAAAACCCCTCCCTTTATTTGGACTCAAACCAAGTGCAAAGGAAGATGGTTGGGACTGCTGGAGGTCAGTTAGCTGAGTCCCAGGAATCCCTCAGGATAGTGTCTTTACCCCCAACATCCGTTACTTCCTCAATCACCTTTCCTCCATCATGAGGTCAGGGATTTTTTGATGGTAACTACAAGATGTTCAGCACCATTTGCAAATTCTCAAGATGTTTATGCTGTCCATGTTCAAGTCCAGCAAGAGCTGGACAACATTCAGGTTGGGGAGTGTTGACTTACATTTGCGTGACACAGCTGGCAGACAATGACCATCTTCAATTAGACAGTCTCACTGTCTCCTATTGAAACTCAATAGTGTTACCATTGCTGATGGATATCTTTGGGAGTTACCATTGACCAGAACCTGAAATGGATGAACCATATAAATACTGCAGCTACAAGAGCCAGGCAGAAACAGTGAATAATTCACTTCTTGTGACCCCTTGTAGATGTCTACCATCTACAAGGCACAAGTCAAGAGTGTAATGGGTTATTTCCTAGTTGCCTGGATAGGTACAGATGCTAATCAACAAAGTGCACATCCATTGAGTGAATAATTATTTAAATATCTTTTAACTTTAGTCAGATTTAACTTCTTTTTTAATGTTATTTCTGTATAATTGGTTTCCCATTGCTTCATGTATCTGTGAAAGATTTACACCTGAGATTCAGACGGTGATAAGGACTTTTTTGGCTGAACATCTGTACACTGCTCATTGGTGTCGTCTTTCAAACAAGATGCTTGAACTAGACATCCGTCATCTTAGGTGAATTAGAAAATGATCCCATGATACTGTTTAAAAAAGAAAAAGAAAGATTTACTTGTGGCCTGATCTAGGTTTATCTCAAAACCAGTATCTGAAACAACCAGAAGGTCATTGTTATTATTAATGGGAAACATTGTGTGCAATCTGATTCTGCATTACAGCAGTGACTGCACTTCAGAAGTATATCACTGGCTGTAAAGCACTTTGAATTGTCCTGAGATCAGGAGCAACACAATATAAATGATAGTTCCTTCATTCCAGTTCCCAGATACTGTGGACATCAAATAGGATATACATTAAGTCTGAAAATTACTGTGAAATATGTTTCTGTAAAAAAGTGAATGCAGTTGTGTTAAATTCTTCTTGCTGGCATTTTAGTAGAAGTCTAGGCAATTTAAAATGAACTGGTTAATGTCTCCATTAGGTTGGCAGTGAGAAAATTCTTCTGAGGGCATAGAATATGCAATAGTGATATTCTCAGATTCCCAAGCCACATTATTTTATAGTCAGTTATGAAGTATGAATTAATGACTTGAAGTAATATATTTAAACACACCATCTTTCTAACAAAGATATTTATGCAGAAGATACTTAAAACTGCATCCAGTGAGATGTGATTCAAAATGATCAATGCTTTTTTGATGACTTGAAAAGAAATACACTGAATGCATTGACAAAAATTTTTGGGACAACGCATATATTTTGTGGACTTATTTAACCACCGCCTTCACATTTTCTATGCATTAAAAGAAGTGGAAATAGTTTTTACTGTTAAAGTTGCTAACCCTGGTTGAATGTATTGCAGAAGATGTTCTTCACATAACTGCATCTTCCAATCATGCCACTGTGCCCCCATTGGTCACTAGCCATGTCCATCCTTGCATCTTCTCATGCCAATTGGTTAGACTCTTAGCTTTCAAGACAGAGGATTTTTGCCTGTCTGTCTAACAATGATACTCATCTGCAAATGTTTTTAGAAAATGGTGTTCAATGTCAGATAAAAAGATACTGTTTTTACAACTTGATTTCTCTGGAAGGTTAATTCTAGAAGCCATGGCACAATCTAGGAGGTTTCTTATTTCTACTCTTTTCTCTATTTTTCTTACTCCAAAACAGCTGTTGTGTTTTTACAATCTGAAATGTATAAACTGTGTATAGTTCATGTGATGGCATAAACTGGTTAAATGCTTTGGGTGACACACATTTGTTTCTTTAGCATTTAACAAAATATCAGAGCAATTCCTGTCTAAACTTTCTTTGGGTTGCTTCCACTCAAGGATGAATTCCAGAGACTATTACAGAACAATGACCAAATATTTTCATTGCATGGGAATTGTTTGCTTGAGATCTGGAGGTATTGATATAGTGGACAGGGCTCTTGGTATAAGGAGACAGTAAGGACTGCAGATGCTGGAAGCCAAAGTCAATAAACATGGAGTTGGACAAACACAGGAGGTCAGACAGCATCGGCCTGAAATGTTGACTTTCCTGCTCCTCTGATGCTGTCTGACCTGCTGTGTTTGTCCACTTCCACATTTAAAGACTCTTGGTATTTCTGGTTTACCAAACATGGGATTGTTGGTTGTATCAGAAATTCAAAACGTATGGTCAACATGAATTTTATAATGGCTCTGAGATTATTTCCTCTTGATAGGAGCATGCACAGATTTAGAGTAGAGCAGGACATTTGGGCTTTTCTGCCAAATTGTAAGTGTAGGTTTGAATATTGTTGAATAAAAGTCAAATTTATCAAAGTTTTTATTCTTGTACTCATCAGGACAAGTTGCAAGAAACACCTAAGGAGGAAGCAAAATGTATACGTATGAAAGGAGGGTGTTGATTGTTTGGCAAGTGTACTCTGATTGGTGGAGGCATTGACATGGAGAATGCATCAGTTATGATGACTGATAGTTAACAGCCAGGCTTTGTTTAAAATTTAAACCAGAGAGGTTGGCTCTGGTCGGTCAAGGGATTGCCCTGAGAAGTAAACCAGCGAATGACTGTCACCTATTTTGTTAAGTTGAGACAGGTGCAGTGTGTACATATGTCCTTTCTGTCTGTAAAGAACGGGGCCCAGTGTATTTATATATGTACCTTCTAGAATACACAAGTGTACCACACCATGAATCTGGCTAACAATCTTAAATCGGTTGTCAGCGTAATTGTCACATACTCAGGATTAGTTCACAAATGTTGTCCGATTTCATAATCACATCTAATGTTAGATACAGTGTTGAGAAGTTTGCAAGCATGGGTGGCTTGGGTATAGTCAGTACCTTGCTCACTGCAAACTGCTGGAAGTATATGTGGTTTAATATGATTTGCCAACATCTGGGACATGCAGCCTACATATCTGGCATCACAGTGGCAAAGAAATTCATACACCACATTATTCTTTTGTGTGATACAAAGATATGTTTTCAGATTGACAACAACATCCTATTAGTGGTGAACACCACTCATGTTGTTACTGCATAGTAGCAGTGTGAAACAGCCAGTTTCCTCTGTTGCTAAAAACGGAGATATCTTACCTGCCAGGGAAATCTGAGGTAGACTGGCAGGACCAGAGAGTTCATTCATCAGCTTGTGTGATGTACAACAAATTTGATCTGACCAGGGTAATTATTATCCATCAGATTGGCTTTGATGAGCCTGATTTCAGCATCAAGTTTTTATGATGAACAGATGACTTGGTTCCTGTTTAAAGGGCTGCAGAGGAGGCCAATCTGACAGCATGTGGAACTGTAGTGATTCCCAGCGTGTATGCTGACCAGTGAAGGGCAGTTGACGGTATTAGTACTCTGCTTTTAAAACTTTTATAATAGACTTTAGCATTTTCCCTACTACTGAAGTCAGCTTAACTGGTCTATAATTGCCCTTTTCTCTCTATCTCCTTTTTTAAAATAGGGGGATCACATTAACTACACTCCAATTGTAGGAACTTTTCCAGAGTGTAAAAAAATCTTGGAAGATGACCACCAAAGCATCCATTATTTCTAGGGCCAATTCCTTAAGTACTCTTGGATGTAGATTATCAAAGACTTGGGATTTGCCAGCCTTTAACCTCATCAATATCCCCAACACCATTTCTTTACCATTATTATATTCCTTCGGTGCCTCTCTCTCTCTCACTAGACCATGTGTTCCCAAACATTTCTGGGACATTATTTGTGTCCTTCATTGTGAAGACAGAACCAAAATATGCAATTAATTGGTCCCATTTTAAATTTCCATTTCTAACTGTAGGGGTCCTGCATTTGTCTTTACCAGTCTTTTTTCTCTTCCCATATCTGCAGAAGCTTTTACAGTCAGTTTGTATTTTCCCTGCAAGCTTCCACTTGTACTCTCTTTTCCTCCTCTTAATCAATCCCTTTGTCCTCCTTTGCTGAAATCTAAACTGCTCCCAATTCTCAGGTCTGCTGCTTTTTGGCCAATTTATCTGCTCCTTCCTTGGATCTAATACTATCCCTCATTTCCCTTGTTAGCCATGATTATTTTATTTGTGTGCCATGCAGGAATGAACAATTGTCGCAGTTCCTTCATGCACTCTTAAAATATTTGCCATTGCTTATCCAGTATCATCCTTTTAAATAACATTCCCCAGTTTATCATAGTCAGTTCACACCTCACCATTGGAGTTTCCTCTATTTAGATTCAGGACCCTAGTCTCAGAATCAACTATGTCACTATCCATCTTAATGAAGAATTCTATCATATTATGATCACTGTTCCCCAAGGGGCCTCAAAGCTAGATTTGTTAATTATTCCTTTCTCATTAAACAATACCTAGTTAGGTCCTCAAGATATTGATCCAGAAAAGCATCCTGTGCACACTCCAGGAATTTCGCCTTTATATTATTGTTACTGATTTGATTTGCCCAATCAATATGCAGATTAAAGTCACCCAGCTATACCTCTGTTGCTTGTGTCTCTAATTTCATGTTTAATGCCTTCCCCAATATTACCACTATAGTTTTAGGGGTCTATATATGATCGCCATTAATGTCTTCTGTCCCTTGGGGTTTCTAAGCTCTATCCATACAGATTGCACTTCACCAGAGCTAATGTCCTTCTTCTTTATTGTGTTATATCTATTGAACCAGCAATGCTACCCCACCTTCTTTTCCTCTAAATCTTCCTTCTTAAAAAGTGAATACACCTGGTTAGTCAGTTCCCATCCATTGTCAGCTTACAGACATGTCGCTGTAATCCCAACTCTATCATATCCACATATATCTATTTGTGCAATTAATTCATCCACTTTATTGTGAATGCTCTATGCATTAGACACAATTTTATGCCTCCTGAAGAAGGGTCACTGGACCCGCCTTGCTGACTCTGCTTTCTCTCCACAGATGCTGCAAGAATTGCTGAGTTTCTCCAGCAATCTGGTTTTGTTTCAGACCTTAAGTTTTGTCTGCTGAAGTTTTTTAGTCCTGTTCACATTATTAAGCACTGAGGCAAAGAATTTTAGCCAATTACTTTTCTTATTTCAATTCTGTCTTTTGTTTTTGCCATTATTTCCCTCTCAGCTGTTTCCTTGTATAAGTTCCAATCGCCCTGCCACTTCAAATCCTCCCTGACCAAACATATCATCTACATGTGTAGAAGGTTCAATCTCATTCCACTGAAGACACATTTCTCATGGAACCCAACAAAGATGTTTATGACAGCTGGGCGTAGTCAGGTTCCTAATGCCAACTTAGACACACATGGTGTTGTTGAAACTGAACAAAACTGTGTGAGTTGCTCAGTTCATATATTTAATGAAAACTGCTTCAAACAAGGGTGGTGGATCTACATCACCATGAATTGTTGCTGCAGTTAAGCTGTGGATGGCTTTGTACATTGGTGAATTGGGAACAGTGTCAAATGAGTATATGGAGGCTGTGTTGTTATCAATATAAAAATCCTGCATGGATTTTGCAAATTTGAAGAAGTCCTTCACCATGTAAGTGAAAAACTTGCTCAAAACCGGTTATAACAGTTCACCCAAACCTTTGACTAGTTCATGTTGTGCAGAACC